CACTTTCAGTTTTCCCATATCTGGGAAGGGGAAGTTTGTCCTGCTAATGTATGTAATATAATTTGTAGAATTTTGTGATGCAAGTTATTGTGACCATTGCTGATTCAGAGGATTTTAAAAGCAATAGCCTGGTTTTTTTTAAATTATCAAATGTGTATATTATAGTTAAAGCCATGGCAGTCAGAATGGAAGCCCCACATTGAGAAGGGTAACCAACAGACACCAAGCAGTAAAAGAAAAAAGACTGTGGTCTTGAAGTCTAATGACATAAAATAAATAACTTTATCAGGACTGAGAATTTTTTTTGGCAGTGGAAAGGATATACTGTAGATAGAGGACTTGGAAGCCAAAGCTAATGTATGTTGCCAACTAAAACTACTTAGAAAAAAGTAAAGAGGCTGGATGGTAAATTTGGAGTGTATGCTTTCTATGGCCATATCTGTGTTTTGGTGGAAGTATTCTCATTATCACCTGTTTTTCTTTTTGCAATATGTTGCTGACCCATATTGAGGACAAATATGATTATATTTTGGGATATCAGAGGTGAACTCTGTCTTCTTATCACAGGAAGGAGGGAAGTTTTTCCTTCTGCTATTGTTTAACTTCACTTTGTTATTCTGGCTAAACTGATATGTGCTTAATGTTATTCCTGGTTAATTAGAAACGTGCTTGTTTAAACCCAAGTTTATTATATAAACAAATGACAAAACAGTAAGACAGTAAAAAGATTTTCTGCAAATAACTGTATTTAAGGACAAAAGTATTCTGAAAAACATTTTTCAGTAGAAGAATAATTCCTAGGCATTGCAGTCAAATGAGACTGGAGGTTAGTAAGGGGATAAATTGATGTGTAAGATGATGTTGCCAGTTGTTAAATACAGTATACAAATTGCAATCCAAATTAAGCTTTGCCATATTGTAAAATTCCTGAATATATCAATAACTGTCTGTTGTTATATGTGACTTAAAGGTGATTTGTTAGTTACATTTAGCTAGGGATGATTTTGAACTTTGAAAACCAGCTGTAAATATTTGAGAATGAGAATAGTGCTATTGCACATGATGGCAAAATATTTTTAGTGCTTTGTTTAGGAGTTTGCATATTTTGCCTTAATCTAGGCATTATCTCATGCTTATTATGAATTTCCAACCTTGGAGTCAAACAGCAGAGTAGAAAAACTCCTTGCCTTCAATTGCTGAAAAGTTATAGAAGGATATAATTTCAATTACTGTCATTGGAAAAAAAAACCTGGTCTTTGTTGATCATAATCTATAAAATAAATAAAATCACTATATTTATATTGTCACATCAATGCCAAGTGTAGATTTGAAAGACCATGACTTTTGAAAATAAAATGGCAACAACTCAAGGAGGAAGTAGTTCTCAAGACATGATATCTGAATACTTAACATTTACTCTAAACACTTCTTACGTGTTTCATAAATTTTCTTAAATGTCAATCTGTTTATGAATATTGGGTTACTGAGAATTAGCATTAATATGCTTCAATTTATATGCACTGTGTATATTGTGATATGCTATGATACTCAGCTTTTTAAAATGCTTTTGAAAATGCTAAAACTATTCATCATATTGTTCTGCCAGTTTTGCCATGCTTTGCCCTTATTTCAAAAGCATGATAGCAAGGCTAAATTTATAGCAACTGTGCAATTAAATTGTAGCAGTATAAGTTAAAATGGCTATCCAAACTATTTGTGGTCTTATATTTGTAACTGATTACTTGGTAATTCTTACATGGGGTAATATAGGAAAGAGAGAAGTAACTGTTTGATCTGTTTGCCCTGTATATTAACACATAATAGGTAAAGAAAATCTGCATAGAGTCAATCTCTTTTGTTTTCCCTCTTTTAAATGAAGACTTATTTGCTAGAGCCCCAGAAAGCATTTAAAAAGGCATATTAACATGATTGAAGCATTTCACTTTGAAACATTACAGATAGTATTGACTTACAGCCGATTGCTTAGCGACTGTTCAAAGTTATGATGGACCTCCATGGGGGTACTTACAACTTGATTGCAGAGTGGGCCACGTTGTAAAATACTGGTAGTCTCTATGTAGCAATCACAGTTGGAACCTATTTCACCATTGTTGTAACTGCAAATGGTTGCTAAATTAGGCAGTCACTAAAGAAGACTACCTATAACCATAATATATTATACAACACAGGAAGAAACCTGAATCAAGGTGAATCTGGTTTAACATTTTATGCCACAAATTGGACAGTCAGATGTATATAGTAGGCTCATTCATGCAGACAGGAAAAAATATCTTTCCTCTCCTGTTAATGGCTATTAGCTATTATTCAAAGGAAGCTGCCTATATTCCAGAAATAGCAAATATCCATCAAGCCTTTAGTCACTGACAACTCAATCCTCCATGAATTTGTTCAATCCTCCTTTAATACCCTCTAATTTGGTGGTTGTTATATATGATGATATTGAACTTTATAGATGAAATATGTATTATCATGTTAATAAGCCAATACCTAAGCATGGTTGATGATGCCCTCAAAGAAGAGTTTATTTGGAGGGGGGGGGTATGCAGCAGCTTCCATCATATTCATTGTATCTTGCTAGGTAGTGATTGATTGATTGATTATATCATTTTTTTTACTTTTAGCAACCATATACAGTGGGGGGGGGAAGTATTTAGTCAGCCACCAATTGTGCAAGTTGTCTCACTTAAAAAGATGAGAGAAGCCTATAATTGACATCATAGGTAGACCTCAACTATGAGAGACAAAATGAGAAAACAAATCCAGACAATCACATTGTCTGATTTGGAAAGATTTTTTTTTGCAAATTATGGTGGAATGGAAACCTACAAACAAGCAAGATTTCTGGCTCTCACAGACCTGTAACTTCTTCTTTAAGAGGCTCCTCTGTCCTCCACTCATTACCTGTATTAATGGCACCTGTTTGAACTTGTTAGCAGTATAAAAGACACATGTTCACAACCTCAAACAGTCACACTCCAAACTCCACTATGGTGAAGACCAAAGAGCTGTCGAAGGACACCAGAAACAAAATTGTAGACCTGCACCAGGCTGGGAAGACTGAATCTGCAATATGTAAGCAGCTTGGTGTGAAGAAATCAACTGTGGGAGCAATAATTAGAAAATGGAAGACATACAAGACCACTGATAATCTCCCTCGATCTGTGGCTCCACGCAAGATCTCACCCCGTGGGGTCAAAATGATCACAGGAATGGTGGGCAAAAATCCCAAAACCACACGGGGGGACCTAGTGAATGACCTGCAGATAGCTGGGACCAACGTAACAACGGCCACCATCAGTAACACACTACACCGCCACGGACTCAGATCCTGCAGTGCCAGACGTGTCCCCCTGCTTAAGCCAGTACATGTCCGGGACCGTCTGAAATTTGCTAGAGACCATTTGGATGATCCAGAAGAGGATCAGATGAAACCAAAGTAGAACTGTTTGGTAGAAATACAACTCATCATGTTTGGAGGAGAAAGAATGCTAAGTTGCATCCAAAGAACACCATACCTACTGTGAAGCAAGGGGGTGGCAACATCATGCTTTGGGGCTGTTTCTCTGCAAAGGGACCGTGTACAGGAAAGAATAAATGGGGCCATGTATCGTGAGATTTTGAGTGCAAACCTTCCATCAGCAAGGGCACTGAAGATAAAACGTGGGTGAGTCTTTCAGCATGACAATGATCCCAAACACACCACCCGGGCAACGAAGGAGTGGCTTCGTAAGAAGCATTTCAAGGCCCTGGAGTGGCCTAGCCACTCTCCAGATCTCAACCCCATAGAAAACCTTTGGAGGGAGTTGAAAGTCCGTGTTGCCCAGCAACAGCCCCAAAACATCACTGCTTTAGAGGAGATCTGCATGGAGGAATGGGCCAACATACCAGCAACAGTGTGTGCCAACCTTGTGAAGACTTACAGAAAACGTTTGACCTATATATAGCAAAGTATTGAGATGAACTTTTGATATTGACCAAATACTTATTTTCCACCATAATTTGCAAATAAATTATTTCCAAATCAGACAATGTGATTGTCTGGATTTGTTTTCTCATTTTGTCTCTCATAGTTGAGGTCTACCTATGATGCCAATTACAGGCCTCTCTCACCTTTTTAAGTGGGAGAACTTGCACAATTGGTGGCTGACTAAATACTTTTTTTCCCCACTGTAGATTTTATTCATGAGAATCTATCTCTAACTTGTTTTTTCAAGTTTCTCAATGGTGTACCACTAAAGACTTTATTGCACTTGCTATTTACAAACAGATTTGCATAGACAAATAAAATGAAATATAGGACTTATTTATAGAAGGTACAATAAGTTAAAATAAGATCATTGTGTAAATGTATTAGAAATACGTAAGTATTTAAATAATATTTGCATTAGTATATATAAAATTGTAACTGCTTAGTGTTGTAATGACATATCATAGTTTTCTTTATGGATTTCACTTTTTTGTTAAAGTGTTTTTATGTGTCTTCTAATTAGTTTTGATAATATTATGCCTAAATCATGGAGCCATGGAAAGTTGGGAGGAAATTATGAGAATTGGAATGAAATGAATGAAATTTAAACATTGTCTGTAAACACACATTGAAGTTATTAGCAATGAAGCACAACAATACAACATGCAGAAAGATTGAAATTGTATTTTGTTGACTGACTGATTACTTGTGTAGTTAATCTTTCGTTGAAAATAAATCTTATATTTTCTTGTATTCTAAGAATCCATCTTTTCCATCTGACATCAACAAAGCTTTCAATTTTAATGTCAGTCATAGATATTTTTAAAATGACTAAGTGCATTAACAATTTTCCCCCTCACCTAAGTTGAAAAATCAGTACTGATAAATTAGGTAATTGGGAGAAATAATCAGATAAACATTCAGTGCTTTCCACCCCCCTTTTGTCTTGTAAGGTACAAATGAATTTCAGGGTCTTTTATATTCAAATAATGTTTACTTTCTATTGTCCTAGTTTAGACTTGGATCATTGATATTACAAAAAGTTACAAATTCACCTGAAGTCATTAGAGAGTTGATTACCCATTGCCTAGACTGTGTAAAAGAACTACATGTCAAAAACGATCACCTACAAAAAGAGAATGAAAGGCTTCTAAGCGATCTGGATGACATACAAGAACAGTAAGTTGAAAATTAATATTCACAAGTGTTTTTTTTTTTACTTTCTTCTGATTCCCTCATACTTTTTATTATGTGAATATAATGCTTATTTACTAAATCAGGGATTAATGAAGCTGATTTAAAGTTAATTTAAATCAGTTGGATATGACTTTTATTGGATTATATCCACCAGTGAAAAGACACTGTTTAAGTACTGAAAATTTTGAATCTTCCTAGGATATATTGCACAGAGATATTTATTGATATAGTGATACTCACTTGCATTTTTCTCATTTCTAAGGTGTTCCTTCTTACCACTCCCCCAACCAATTAAAATTTAATTTATGTATAGGAGTTCTGCAGGTAGTTGATTAGTATCTCTAATGTTTCTAGAAAAAGTTACTGAATTGATCTGTGCGGTAATGATACCTAGTCATTTGCATTTAAATTAGGTGAATTATTTATTAGCTATTGAATATTCACATCATAGGATTATTTGTCGTTTATGAAGTTATTTAATAGATAAAGCTGTAAAAGCTATGTTTTCCAACATTTTGACATGGATTAGTATACGAGGACTCAAATATATTTGATATAAATAAAAGTTTTAAATGGTTTTAGTCATTTAATGTGCAAGAAGAAATGTGCTTTTAATTTAGAAGACTGAAGTACCAAATCATATGACAGTATTCCAATTGCACATTGCATTTACTTATAGCATGTAGAATTGCAATATAATACACACACACACACACACCACACCATACCACACCACACCACACTCACCACACACGTATTATAGATATATTTAGTTCCTACTATGGACGGATATTTTAATGGCTAAATCCCCAACAGCAATAACAACTTGCAATTACTATATGCAGATACAAGGTTTTAGTGCTCATTTAGTAGCATGACAAATGATTGCACTTCTGAAAAGTTTGGCAGTACTTTGATTTTCTAGTTAATGAGACTGTACAGCAGAACAAGAGTCCATATGGTCCTGATACACATGTGGCAGTACTAACAAAATGACCTATTTATCAAATAGCTGCTATCACAGGCGGTTTAATCCAAATTGATTTACTAGCAGGCAAACTAGCTCTCAGGATGCTTTCTATCAACCCACTGAGACACTGAGGGATTGTTGCAACAAATAAGATGCTAGAAGATGATGCTTTACTTTCAGGATGTTAGCAGTATGCATTCTAGCAATATTCATTCTGCAAGTAAATTGACAGCGTTGAGTATGAGCCTGAATATTTTCAGATTTTTCATAAGCCATTATATAGGTTTTTAAAAATTCAGCATGTATCTTTCCTATTCTATTAAAATAATTATCTCTCCCAAATGTGAAATCAATAAATATGTATAATATTTGTGTCTATAATGAAATTCAAATTGCATTCTTTGACAAAATTACTGGACCAGAGGAATGCCGTCGATATAGTTTATTTGGACTTCAGTAAGGCATTTGATAAGGTAGACCATAACCTACTACTAAAGTAGAAGAATGTGGGTTGGACAGCATCACCACCAGATGGATTTGTAACTGGCTGACCAACCTCACTCAACAGGTAGTCCTCAA